ATTTTTGCTGAGCGCGTGCCGACGACACGGAAATTCGATGAGGCTGCGAACGCGTTGGAAAGAGAGCGAAGGAGATTGGAGATAAAAGTGAATGACTCGAAATTATATATCTACGTGTGTGTGTAAAGTGTAAATTTGACAATGTTGTGAAAAATTAAAAGACTTTGATATTGTTGCGTGGTAATTCGAGTTAAATGACGTCATCTAACGAATCTCTCTCTCTCTTTCTCTTTGGTACTATGACGTCGAAAGGCTCGAAGCAAATTTACAAAAATACCTACATCTTCGAAACTTTTAACGAAAGGTCCATGAACATGATACTATCTCATAGAGTTTCTCTCTCTCTCTCTCTATCTCTCTAAAGAAGATGAAGATGAAGATGAAGATGAAGATGAGACCCTTTCTAAGATTCTTGTAATAATCTTTTATGAATATCTCTCTTTTTTTTATAGTAGAAATCTACGCGCCAGAGATAAAGATTTATGTGTTGTACGACAACGGTCGATGATCCTTGGGTGAAAGATTATTAAGCGCGATCGCATTACGTGGACCTTCGGTAGATGGCCGCGGTTCGTGCAGCAAGGTGCACTGACCGCAGATAGAAACACGTGGACGCAGTCCAAGTCCTCCTGGGGAGGGAGGGGGGGGGGTTAAGAAGTAGGTGGTGGAGGAGAAAGAGGAAGAGGAGAGGAGGTAAAAGTGGGAGGAGTGGATGATTTTAACCGAGGCCTCTGCACTCGACGAGCTCTACGTGACGAGAGAAACGTCAAAAATGACGATATCTTCCCTCTTCTTCTCTTCCTCCTCCTCCTTTTTCCCTACTGAAAAGACGATTCTTATCCTTTAAGAAATTCGATAAGGTCGATGCCATGGAATGAAATCATACTTTGCTTCCATATATGTCAACGTTGCTTCTGATCTTTTCGAAAGAACGAATGTTCGTAATTAATGTCTTTTTAATTATCTTCACGAGACGACTTTTACGATAATAGTGAGGACTCCTCGAACATCTCATAATTAAGAAAGGAACGAAAGATCTTGACTATTAAGCGTTCGAATGAAAAAATTCCAAAGTACTTTCTGCGGGATTGTCGCTAGAAGAATAAGAATAAGAAGAAAAAGAAGAAGAAGAAGAAGAATTGATGCATTCTTTCGAAAATTGGAGAATCAATCGCAATTATAAAAAAGTTGGCTTGGTCGTGACAAATTTTGATTGGGACGTAATAGGAGAGAAAAAAAAAGAGGGGTAGGATGAGTCGTCGAGTCTTTACCTTCGGCCTCGCCTCTTCCTCCTAACCGCACGAGTTCTAGCGTTGCTTTACGTGTGACGTAACTGCAAGGTCTTACGGTATCTCCGACAACGGGCCTACATTACGTGAGTGTCCATACACGCGACCCGCATGTAGGTACTTATGTACCTGCGCGAAAGATCCGCTACACGTTCCGACTCCAAGCGTACCTCTTTCCTTCACTCCTCTATCCTCTTTTTCCTTCTTCGCTTCGACTTCGCCATCCTATTGCTTCTCTACCGCCTTAATTCCCACCATCCTTCACACCTGTATTTCGTGCCTCGTTAGAGGCACAATTAATCGTCAGGCTTAGCTTACATCGAGCGGTACTAGCTGTATCCGTGTATCATGGCGAACGCACGTTAACAACATGATCCATATTATGAATGAATCGATTATATTCTCGTATGATTCAAAATGTTAATATTAACATTTTGAATGATTTCTTTTGAAATATGCTGTATTAATTATTAATACCAGCTAATTCGTATATTATTATTAGTGATAGGTAAGTTGGTTTCCAACAATAGTATATTTCTACTTGAAAGAGTCATCAAAGAGGATGGATCAATTTCGTAATTGCTACGTCATTGTTGAAAGCTGTTAGTCGAAAAGATATCTATCCTTCTCTTGCGTTTACGCCTCGGCGTGTTCGCGATGACGCGTCCCCTCGTGTGCCAGCAAAGTAAGCAAACAAGCAAACTTATAAACTTAGATGCGCGTACTCACGCTACCTACATATACCTACATATGTATGTTTATATATACGGATAACACATATGGGATATACAGTTAGGAGTACCGTTCTGAAAATGCAGCGGCTCGTATCGAGTCGAAGAGAGCGCGAGTCAACTCTCTTCGCGATAGCCGTTTATCCTCGAGTCGAGCCGATCGGCTCGAACGTCGGATTCGATAATAAGATGCGATCTCTCTTTCTTATCGGTACTGTTATTCAAATAAATTGTAATAAATTTCGACGAATGTCGTCATAAAGCGAATCTCTCTAACAGGAAACATTTCGAAGAAAATTTTAGAAATATCGATTATCGATAATTTCATGAAAAAGATTATCGATAATTTCGTTCTCTTTATCGTGCTTAAGCACTTCTCGAAAGGTGCAATGGCACGCATAATACAATACGCGTGATACAATAGAGAATCGAAGGGACTAGATTGGATAGGTGCGGAGAAATCGCGAGAGACCGGCAAGTGCGAACGGCAGGGGTTGGACAAGTGCGCGTTGCCAACGCGGATCGAAGGAACGAGATGGTGGTAGGGTAGGAGGGTTTCGCGTCTGCGCTTTAACCATCCATCCGACCACCCATCTGCCACTACTCGAGTTACCTTATGATTCTTGACAAATTCGATATTTCGAAGGAAATTTATGTTCCGCGCGGGCGGCTTGTTCGAAATGCGGTTAAAAAGATTTGCCAGCACGGAAACGAACCGCTCCTTCGAAATTCCATGCAAACTACAAAGGCGATCGATAAAAGAAGGAACGATGAACGTTCGAACTAATTTGTCTCGGCTTTTAACGTCTTGTCGTTGAGTCTAACACCGATTCATTTAATTCCCTTCGTGTTTCTCTAGGCAAGACACCTCGCCAAAAATTTAGATATTTTTTTAATTACTTTTGTCGTTGCATTTTAAAGATCTGCGTCTTTAAAAAGAAAAAAGGGAGAGAGAGAGAGAGAGAGAGAGAAAGCAATAAAGAAACAAAAATCTATATATTGAAAAGATTGTAAAAAGATTGCGGTCGAGAATTTTGAAATTGGCGCGTGAAGGCGAGCCCTCAGCTCCGGGCACCGGAGGGGACTCCGCCGCAAGTAAAAGAGATGGGAGTAAGGAGTAAAAGTAGTAAGGAAAGCGTATAGACCGACAGGCAAGTAGGAAGAAAGGAAGGAAGGAAGGAAGGAAGGAAGGAAGGAAGAAAAGGAAAGAAGACGGTGTGTGCGTTAGGGGGTGCGTGTTGTACGAGGGTAGAACAGCGCCAATAGAGAAGAACGGGCGAGACAAGTAAAGAATCGAGCCGTGCGCCATCTGCTGAGGGATCGAGCAGGCTCGAGCCACTTGGTTCTCCCCGAGAGAGTGAGAGCAGCGCATAATAGCCCGAAAGGAAAGCACCGTTCGGCGCCCAAAACGGTGTCTTTTCTTCGCGGAGGGCCTTTTTATAATCGCGTCAGAGCCCGTGTCTCGTTAAGGCCCGGTGAAAAACAATCGGTGAGTTCGTGCGACGAGAGCGAGTTAAAACTAGGAGCTCGAAGCTGGAGCGGTGCGTCGCGACGACGTTAACGGTGACGAAGAGAAAGAGGAGGAGGAGAAGGAGGAGAAGGAGGAGAAACTACGACGATCCGTCACACGGCAACGTCCAGGGGATGGTGCGTCGAAAACGATGACGTAAATTTACGAGGTGAACGGTGAAAAGGGAAAAAAAAAAACAAAGGGGAACCGGCGAACGTGTGACGGAAGGGTGTGTTTCCCTCCGACGAGAAACTAAGAAGGAAGGAAAAGAGAAATAATTCGAGATAAAGGAAGGAAAAGGAAAGGAAAAGAAAAGGAAAATATAAGAAGCCAAGGGAGCGTTTTATCGAGAGAAGAGAGGAGGTGGGTGTCGCGCGGTCGTCGAGTGTTTCGCGTCCGCGCGAGAAATGATCAAGGACGAGAAGGAAAGGAAGAGGAGGAAGAAGAGTTCGCTCGAGGGTGCTTCCTTCTTTGGTCTGCCGAAGGAGGAGGTAGGTAATCGCGGCAAGTTTTCGCGAGGACGTCTCGCCGTTTCGGAGACGTGCCTTTACGCGAGTTTACTCTAGCTCGTTCGTGTTTTTTGAGATGAGAGATATCGCTCGGGGTGTCTTCGCTCGTGATGTGGTGAATGGGGAGGAACGGTGGTGAGATCGATCTCTCTCGTACGGATCGCTGGTGCGGAAGCATTTTCACGAGGAGACGTACTCGCGAAGGGAAGGGAAAGGGGGGAGAGAGAGAGAGCGAGAGAGAGAGAGAGAGAGAGAGAGAGAGAGAGACGAAGCTAGTCGACGGCTTGAACGAGACCCACTGACCTATCGACCCGCGAACGCGACTCTACCGTGGCGTCCCTCGTACCTTCCCTTCTTTATTCGCTCGATCGAATCGCAGGATTACTACATTTCTCTTTCTCTTTCCCTTACACGCATCCTTCACGCAAGGAGAGAAGCGCGTCGAGTCGTTGCGCCTATACATTGACAACAACACAACCACTACAACGACGACGGCGACGACGACGGCGACGACGGCGACGACAACAACAACGACAAAGTGAATCGACGAGTCGTTCTTTGAACGAGACCCACTGACCTATCGACTCACCGAGCGATTTCTCCTTCCCTCTTTCTATCCGTCCACCCTTCGAATACAACCCTCCTCGTCGTCATCAACGTCGTCATCGCCGTCGTCGTGTTGGTTGATCGTACGCTCGCGTCCAGGACGTTCTCTTCCTTCCCTCTTCCCTTCCCTTCTCTCCTCCTCCTCCTCCTCTCCTCCTTCTTCTCCGCCATCTCTTCCTCCTCCTCGTACCTTTCTTCCCCTTCTCCTTTTCCTTTCTCATCTATCACGCTCGGTATCGTTTTCATCGGGTGCGTCGAACCTTTCGAAGTACCGACGTTTCGAGTCCCTTCGAGTATACGAAAGGTAAAAAAAGGCTGCCTATAGCAGGTACTGCGAAACTCACGAACGTAATCGATGTCACGTTCTTCGAGATCGAGAGATCATCGTGTTAGCTGGAACTCCATGCCTTCTGACTGGAACTCTTCGAGATCTTGTCACAGTAGTGAGTATCGAGAACCGCGAGAAATCCGCGGTACGTCGTCGAGAACAAGAACGAGAAAAGAAGAGTTTTGCATCGCGAGGAAGAAAAGGACAAGCTCGCGATTCGCGACGCCAAGGGTATGGCGTCGAAAATTGGTGCTTTCGACTTCCTGCCACAACTGACGTCGTTATCCTTCGCGAGATCGACGACTCCTCCTTCGATCCTCGTCGCGTTCAACGATAGGCCGAGCACGCCGACAAGCGTATGCCGCCTCTATCGATCGTTCGTTTGTTAAATTATTAAACACGTCGTTTACGAAGAAACATAAGAGAAAAAGTCTGATTTCGCAACAACAACAATAACAGCAACAACAACAACAACAACAACAACAACAACAACAACAACAACAACAACAACAACAACAACAACAATTATAATAGCAACAGCAACCAGGAAGAAACTACTAATAAGAAAAAGGATATTAATCGAGAAGAGCAATAGACACGACGTACGTAATTCTCCAAGTGATAGAAACGTAAACGAGGGTTACGGAACGTGTCAGACTGACATCGAGACATTAAGGGGAAACTGTCGTCGCGAAAAACTTTAAGTATTCACGGACGAGCGCGCGCGGCCGACCGTGAAACCATCGTGCTGCTTTAAAATCGAGACCGATCGGAGTTTGGTCCAACAACGAAAAAAAAAAAAAAAAAAAAAAAAAAAAAAAGAAAAAAGAAGAAAAAACCAGCGCGACGAAGAGGACTGCGTTTGAGTCCTTCTATATCTCTCTTGGTCTTTCTCTTATCGATGAACTGAGAGAAAGAAGAAAAAATAAAGCGATAAAGAAAGGAAAGATAGAAAATAAGGAAAAAAAAAAAAATACAAAATAAAAAATGGCAGAGAGCGCGGCGAGTCCAGGTAGCGTGCAAGTCGCTGCCAATAGTCCGCAGCAACAGCAACAGCAAACGCAACAAACGCAGCAACCACCGGATATAAGCAGTTCGCAGCTAGCTTCACCACCGATCACGGGAACAGGTACAGGACAGTGTGCTTCCTTTAACATATCGCTTTTTCATACATTCAGAAATTATCTAGAAGAAATGAAAAAAAATATGGCATTTATTACTTTAGTAATATTTTTGTTTACTTCGTCCGTGCCCTAATTTTCACTCGCCTCTCTCTCTCTCTCTCTCTCTCTCTCTCAATATATATGTATATATATGTATATATGTATATATATATATATATATCTTTTTAGATCTCTTTTTATACATCTGCCATATTCATCATGATAGTCCATACCAAAGCTGGCAAGGCTTTTATATAATGGAGATTTTCAATAAACGGAAAACTCTTTTGTTACTTTTGAAAAACAAAAGAAAAAAGGGTGGGGAGAGATAACTAGTTTTTATCGCAGTAGAGTCTACTAGCTCCATACAAGTAAAAAGAAAATAAGGACAAAGTTGTAGAGAAAAAGATAGACATAGACGAAGATAGAGAGTTCGAGTAGTCGTAAATTTCGCGCCGGAGACGAAGCGGATCCGACGCGTTTACTCGCGTTCGCGCGCACGCCTACGAAAGAGAGTGGAGAACGGAGTAGAGAGGGATAGAGACGGATGTAGGGAGCAGGAGAAGAGGGAGGAGGAGGAGAAGGGCCGACGTACGTAGCTAAAGGAGGGAAAGAGAGAGCGCGAGTCGCGTTAGCGGATCTGTCGGTCGAGTAACGGAACGGCCGCGAGTACCGCTAGCACCGGCTCTGACGCGGTTACCGGATAACCGTTAGGCTCGACGATCCGCGAGTATTCCACCACGTGCTGTCTCACCGTGTCTCTTCCTCGAACGCGAACATCAATGCCGACTTCTTAAAGCCAATCTCCTCTTCTTGTTGCCTAGGACTCTTTCTATGTCTTTCTTCCTATTGGAAAAATGTCCGAAAGAATGCATCCTATATCATTTCTAATTACGTTTATTTTTCAACTGTCAGAGACGAAAGAACCCGAGCAAGAATGATATTTATTTGCACAAAGACTCGTTAATTAAAACAAAAAAGAAGAAAAAAAAAAAAAAAAAAAAAAAAAAGAAATCGATTCGCAAGAAAGAACATTAAGAACGGCAGAGCGTTTTTGTTCAGAAGAACCAGTCGGATCGACATGAACTTGAACTCTGAACTTGAACTTTGAACTCGGTGAAACCTTCGAACCCGGGCACATCCGGTTACGATTAAAACTCTCACGATTCAAATGTCTACGTGGATGGGCACGGATCCTTCCTTTTGGGGAAAAAAAAAAAAAAAAAAAAAAAAAAAAAAAAAAAAAAAAAAAAAAAAATAATAATAATAATAATAAAAAAGAAAAGCAAAGAACGCCGTTTTAATCGCCTAGAGAAAAGATAAACTCTAGACGAAAGTTATACGGTAAAGGAGACGCGTTACGTGTAACGGAAAAGCATCGAGTTCTAGGAATCGCGGCGGCTGATGATTCTCGCGTGACCGAGAGCGGTGCTCTTCGTTCGCACCCTCTCGACATACTCTAGGGTCTAGAGGTTAGCCGGTCAGCCGCTACTACTTTGTCTCTCTTCCTTCTCTCTTCCCCCCTCCCACCTTCTCTCTCTCTCTCTCTCTCTTTCTCATTACTCCTTTCACAACGAATGACTCGAAGATTAAATTCCGATCGTGTGCATCTCTCGGCTTCGATGATCGACCAAAGGCTGAATCGTTTTGGTACTAATGGAATTTCTAGAAAGGTAATGGCTCGTAAAATAGACGGATGTGGCGTCGATTACAGTGGAACTCCTTTAATATTGATTTCGTATTGTGGGAACCGCGTAAGGAATAAGGAATAATACGGTCGTTTGTTTCGGGGGATAACAAAACTACAGTAGTTTTACGTTTCCCCCTGATAAAAAATATTTTTTTGGAAATTCTTCTTATGCGTTGTGTGATTTTTTTTGGCTGTAACACGACCGACAGTAAAGAGTACGTCTCTTCTCGCTATTTGCAATTTCTATCGGTTAACAAAGTCAAATTATTAATTATAATAAGGATTAATTGCCGTTAATAGAAATCGTGATAGGAAACTCATATAGTATCAATACAGAATGGAGTAAGTACGATTACGATACAGTACGGTAATCGTACTGGCATAATCAACGCTCATTACCGATACTTCTGTTTAGTAGTTGGCAAGTAGTTAGTCGATAGTTCACTCGTTAGCTTCGTTACTAATTATTTGCGATTACCCGTTATATAGTATCCGGCTTATTAGCAATTAGATCGCCAATTAACTGGCCGTTATTAACAAAATCCGTAATTATGCATCCGGATGGTAACAAAACTAATTACCGTTACATTTTTCCGGCCGGGCTTTAACACGAGCTAGATACGCTTGTGAAGCTTTTGACGCGGCTATCTTTCGTCTATCTCGAATGGGCGAACAAAACCGAGCTTTGACGTTATCATCGAGCCTATTCGATGACGATGGTTAGAGGTATGAAAAGAGGAAAAAGAGAGCGATGCACGCAGCACAAAATAAAAAATGGGACATCAAATTATTTTTATATAATATCATTGCACTACTTATTTGGTTTGATCGATATGCACGAAAAAAAAAAAAGAAAAAAAAAGAAAAGTGCTCGTTTGCAAAAGGAAAACACGTTTCGCATCGACGGATCGCGACGGATCTATGGCGCTTGGCATTTCTTTCACGAACACATCTCGATCGTGCGAATTACGGTTTCTGCTTGAGCTCATATCCCGCGGCACATGATTCGCCTCGCTAACGAGCTTACCAAGCGTTATAGGGTAAAAGTGCGTCCGCGACGGTGAGAAGCCCTGTTCCGATGGAAGCGCGCGCGACCGTGGCACAGTTTGGCCTCTCTTACTACCGACCAACAGAAAGGAACCCCCGATGATGCACTCCTCTTGAATCCATTACTATTACTAATTTCAAGTGATCATCGTCGCCGTAGCCACTGTGTCCAATTAATAAATACCACGGCGATTGAAAAAAATATCAATCCCAAGTTATATTTCCCTTCAAAATTTTTTCAAAAATATATTTACCCCTAGCTAGAGTCCCCGTTCTCGTTTCGAGTGAGGAAGAATTTAATAACGCCTCGGACGTCAGAACCAAAATCAATAAACGAATTGCGTTCCGCGAGAGAGAAAGAGAGGATTCCCCGTACATCGTGCAAGCTTGCTATTTATTTTTAGGCAGATCCGTAATACTTTTTCCCTTCTTGCCTTTTACAGAAATTGCTTTATCACATCGACCCTCTCTATTCCCACGAATGAATCCATGCAATTTCAATCGATTCATGTTCGTAATCAACTTGCGATAAATATAAATCGTAAAACGACGGTTTAAAAATTTGTCAACGATGAATAATATACAGGATAAGATCGGGCAACCTAAATAACTTTCAAAATAGTTGCCGAAATAGCGAATACATTTGATATCAATGTGATGTGTCAGGAAATTGTCTTAGACAAGACATTTCGACGGTCAATTTTAAATATCTATTCGCTCGCGTATATACGTCACGTATACCCTTCCTTTTAATAATATTTATATATAAATAGTAGAAAAAAAAAAAATTAATTCTTGGGAAATATCACAGAGGAAGAAAGGGTGGAGGAGATCGATCCTAAAATCGAGAGAAGAGGAAGGTAGAAGACAACGCGTACGGCCCTGGGCTTTCGTTCCTGTATCGTGTTCGAGCCGCTCCCTCCTTTTTTTCCCCCCTTTATGCGAGCTAGCTAGCTAGCGAGCGAGCGAGCGAACGAACGAACGAACGAACGAACGAGCGAGAATGAGCGAGCGAACAACGAGGAAGGGGCGCGCGAGTCGTGTCGGTTATCCTCGTTCTTGCGCATCGCGTACGGGTGGTATTACGTGGCGCGGCAGTAGGGCAAGAGTTCGATGGCCTGCAGCCTTGCAAGGCCGGTCGACGGGCAAGGTACCGAGCGCGCGCGCTGCGTCGGATCTCGTCGTTGGCGCTACCGACGCCACGACGGTGGCCAATCCTGGAGTCTCCGATCAAGAGACCGGCCGTATCGACCGAAAAACATCGATGAAAGTCGGTTGCGAGTTATCGTTATGGTGCAGCTTTACCGACCGGCGCTGTCGTCGCTACGTCACAATCGAAAAGGGCCGAAGGTCGATACACAGCTTCTGGTCCCTGGGGACCAATCGAGACGTAGAGCGGGAATTTCAAATGATTCTCATCAAGCGGCACGACCGAGTTCCTGAAAAGATATTTTTTTATTTTTTTTTTTTTTTCGTTATTTACATTTTAATATTGAAATAAATGCGCATTAGGTAGATCTGATTATTCGATGATAAAAGTAACGTATCGTAAATGTTCTATATTTCATTTCGCTTAAAATATCGTTATCATTTTTCATGGAGTACCTTATTTTTCTTTCTTTTTTTTTTCTCGTCGTTGTTTCATTCTTATCCGATATTTATATCTCTTGGATTCCCTCGAAGATTCGTTATTAGAAATTAAAGATATCCGTCTTTTGGTGCGATCGTACGATCGAGAAATGAGATAGGTTCCGGCGAAACGCTCGACTGGGACCGCTTCTGACTCTTGCGACGTGCCGAAGCGAAACGATTTAGTGCCGGTTGCAAGAGGAGACTTCCCATTGCGACAACGGCCCATTGCCGACAACAATCGCTCCTTACGCTCTAAGAACATGTACGATCGCCTCTCCAGCCAGCACGAAGATTCGAAGGCCTCCTCCTCCTTCTTGTCGGTCGACACGGCGATCATTTAAGGATTTTATTCGACGTCGAATTACCTATTGGAATACTTGTCTCTGGAAAAAGAAATATTTAAAAATGTTACTTTTAATGTTACATTAAAACTAAATTATGATCGATCTCTTAACAAGTTAATATCGTCATTTATTTTGATTTCAGGTAAGCTAATCAGTGTCATTCACGTTACCGCGTTAACAATTAACTAGAGAGATAAAGAGAGAGAGAGGGGTGGGTGGGGAAGAGGGGGGGGAGAGAGAGAGAGAGAGAGAGAGAAATTCGGTGAGTAACGTCAAATGGAAAATTACATTAGAACGATGAAATGAAGGTATATACATATGTAGGAGCTCCTTTAGTTGGAGCGAGAGAAACGATCTCGAGAGCGATCGATCAAGCTGGCACAGTCTTCTAGAGGCGTATTCATCGTCTCGTTTCGAAATCTCGACAAACTCGGCCTGCCGCGGCCGTCCGTAATCCGTTCTACGTAAGGTACGCGCATGTATTCCGTGTATCGTGCTCTCGCTGTCCTCGAGGGACGTTGTTCGAGGACGAGGATACGTTTTCCTTTTTACTCGCTTCTTAACGCCTCTCTGTATTCTCCCTCTCCAATCGACATGGACTTTTATCCATAGAAAGATAGAAAGAAAAAGGCTTTTTTGTCTTTCAAAAAGATATTAAAATGGAATCGTACGCGAGTCGAGGGGGATAATATTCTTTTCTCGTCGTGTTTCTTTCTCTATTTCTTTTCTTCTTCTCCTTTTTTTTCTTTTTTTTTTTTTCTTTTTTTTTTTTTTTTTTTGAGAAGAACAGTTCGGTCTATGTAACAAAATAACATAGGAATGTTCGGCGAATGTACATAGATCGTACATTGATCGTACATACGTACGTACCTACGTGTTACGAAAAGGACTTTGCCGAGGCTGACCAGTAGAACGTGTAAACGCGTGGTACGTGCCTATGGATAAGCGGCGTATTTTCAATGAATGCAGCGGTGGCGGACGCAAGTCGGAGCGCGCACCTTGCATAGCCATTACGTCGGCGACGCGATCCTGCGGCTAAGCCCGAGGCTATCAAGGCAGTGCTCGAGAGTAGGTCGGAGAACGCGAATCTATAATATATCTATCGCTATTTTGGATTAATGCTCGAGAGAATTTGTTTTTTTTTTCTTTTTTCTTTTTTCTTCTTTTTTTTTTTCCTTTTTTTCTTATTTTCCTCTTACAAGGAGAGAGGCCACGACGTATCATTCGATTCCGAGATCCCCGAGTGATCTACCTACGACTAAAACTTGAATGAATCCAATGATTACGAGAATGTTTTGACCTATAAATCGAGAGGGAAAGAAAAAAGAGATGAATATTTTTCGAACGAGTTCACGAAGAGAAAGCGCGTTTCCAATGCGTCAGAGCGATTATACCGAAACCATTATACGCATATATCGTAAGCTCCACGGTACCATCATAATCCAGTGCTAAAGTGTTACCATATCACAGGGTTCAATGCGATCGCATTGTAAACGGATCCGATAGAATGATATTCGCGCGAATAGCTGCGAAGCGAGTCTGAGCCCATTGGAAAAGAGCGTTCTCGATATCTCCTACGTAATCGTCGTACGTATTATATGTACGTACATATATGTACGTACGAGGCCGAAGCTATAGAAAAACAAAACATGAATGAAACGATATAATATGATCGAGATAAAAATCGAATCTCGTTGAAATTATTATGTACCTAGACATTGGAAAATTTCAACCGGTATCAGCGAGCAATTAATATCGGACGAGTAATTAACTCGAAACAGGAGATTCGACCTAATATCCACGTTATTATCCGAGAACGTAGCGTACGAGCGAGTAGTTACATGGTCATCGGCGCGTCGTTTAAATTGGACAACGCGAGTGCGTCGACTGATAAATTAAACCGGCCAACGAGCATCGACTTATTAACGTCCGATCCGTATCGGGCGATGATTAGAATCACGGCTGAGAGCGTTCTGGGCTATAAGGATATATATATATATATATATATATATATATATATACACATACATACACGTAATGTACAATATAAATGCAGGTCGAACAGAGAGCGGGGAGAGAGAGAGAGAGAGAGAGAGAGAGAGAGAGAGAGAGAGAGAGAGAGAGAGAGAGAGAGAGAGAGAGAGAGAGAGAGAGAGAGAGACAAAGAATCGCGTCGAAAGAGAAGATAGAAGGAGAAAGATAAATCGACAGAGAGAAAGCGAACTATCGATTTTATCGAGAGTCATATATCGTTGCGGAATTATCCCGAGTTCTCTTCGAGCGAAGGATAAAAGTTGTCTGCAAGCAAGCGTGCACTCGCACGTTCGTTCGTGTGACCATTAACACCGTACAAGAAGGTGCGATCCTGCGGCGTAGCCCTTGGTGATCCAAGCGAGTTGGAAGAGGAGCGCATATGAGAGCGGAATGACAGAGAAACATCTGTCAAGAGTTCCGATCCTTGTCGTCTTGGTCGTCTTAGTCGTAGTCGTTATCGTCGTCGTCGCCGTCGTCGTCGTCGTCTTCGTCGTCGTCGTTTTAGTCGTCGTTGTCACCGTCGCTACCGTCGTCGTCGTCGTCGTCGTCACTTTCCCCGCCTGCGGCGTCAAAAACGTTTCCGGACCTCGGCCTAACTGGAAGGGAGTAGGAGGGACGTAAGGGAGGGTCTCGATCAGTTTTTTGCAGGCCGGGCTTCCCATACTCTCTAGCGGGACACAGTATCGTCTTGCGTAACATTCGCGAAAAGCAATGCTCCGAGTAATTTCACTTTCGTTGTAATCCTTCTTAAAAACGAATCTAATTATTATTTCATGATATGAAATAGCGATCGTATGTAATTCGAGAAAGCAGTTTATTCGTCGAATATCCTAGGATAAGTTAGATTGCAAAATTATTGAGGAGAATCGAGACGAAAATTGCGCCTCACATACAATCTCTCTTGATCTCTCCTTCTCATTGTTGGTCTCTCGTTAGACGTAGGGCCGAGTTTTCGACGCGTCGCACAGGTCATGGACGTATATCGAGAGGTCGTCGGCGACGTTTTAGAAGCGGGCAGCGCGGAGAGACCCAGATTTCATTTTCGTTGATGAGCTTGGCATCGGTCCAGCTCGACTAAATATATACTCCCTTTCTCTCTTTCTCTCTGTCGCCATCTCTCTCTCTCTCTCTCTCTCTCTCTCTCTCTCTCTCTCTCTCTCTCTCTCTCTCTCTCTCTCTCTCTCTCTCTCTCTCTCTTACCCTCTTTCTTTCTCGAGATCGTTCCTTCCACATCACGATTTTCGTGCGGACCGAGAGAGCCAGGATCGAGACGATCGAGATCCATCGCGATCAAGACTTGCCCAACTTCGAACTTGGAACAATGGATGTACGTAACGAGGAAGGAGGATATCGTTAGAAACGTTACGCAGTTAGTTCTCTACTACCACCAGGAATAATATCATCGAAAAAGGTTTGCTCGAAATGAGAAACCCCGAGCAATCCCCGAGCAGTCGTCGCCGACGGCGTAACACCTTCGTATCCGTGAGTCGTGCCAAAAAAGTTCTACCGCGGTCGAGGGAACGCGATATATTTGACTTAACCGCTCGTTACTGGAACATCTAGGAAAGTAAATTGAGCGAAGGCGTTATCTCGCTTCGTTTATTTCGATATACCTACCTCACGAAGCTGAACCTTTCTTTTCACCTACGATAAGATAGATATCTAATAATCCTATACGAATCCGTCTATCGTAAACTCTCGAAAGAGGGAGCAGGTATGTTTCAGCTGGAAAATCACGTTTCCTCGACCATAAGTTTCACCACGAAATTTATGAGACTTTGTAGTAATGGTTAGGAGGTGTAAAGTCAATGACAAAGACGGAGAGAGAGAGAGAGTGAGAGAGAGAGAGAGAGGGTGGGGGACAAGAGGCTGAGAATGAAAAAAAATTGTGGTAGCTTTTCCGAAAAGAAAGTCGACAATCCTTTTCCTCTCTTGCGGTTGGTCTAGGTTTTCCTTCGTTCTTCGTTTTGGGATAACGGTTCGTCGAACGTGTACGGTTGTCGCAATTTAATTTACGGCAGAGGACCGACTGGAAATTTCACTTTGCTTCGCGCTGCCTTATAATACTGCGGGACGTGCCAAAAGAGCTCATTGAACTCGGTTATCGACGTGAAAGTTACCTACGACAATGGTCAACGTCGATTCATTCCTCTTGCTCAGGTACCGTCCTCCTCGTAAACATTTCTACGAAAAACGTTTTGAGCAACATGCTTTCTTCATTTGTGGAATACGTAAGACATTTCTCTCTCTCTCTCTCTCTCTCTCTCTCTCTCTTTCTCATTCTCTCTGGAAAAACACACCGAATAATGTCCCTGATTAACACTATGTGCCCTTTATACGTAAGCTTATCAAAAACATTTCTATTACGCTGACAAAATTTGTACATCTATTTTTAAAACTCTGATCGTTAAATGGTAGTCCTTTCCATTTCTCATTTTGATCCTTTCACCAATTTCGTTCCGGCACGTTCGAAGGGAGAGCGAGCAAGCAAGAGAGAGAGGGAGAGAGAGAGAGAGAGAGAGAGAGAGGGAAAGATAATTTTTGAAATATCACTAGCTCTCTCCTGGGGGGCCTTCACCCTGAAATGCCAAGCAGCCATAATTTTTACGACTCTGAGGTACTTCTATTGTTGCGAACAACATGCAACGAAACGTTCTGTACAACCGATACACGCACCTCTTCTCCAACGTATTTTCTCTCTTTTCTTTCAAATAATTTTCATTTTTTCCGATATTACTTATTTAGCTTCTTTAAGCATCGAAACGTTTCATCCGACGTGTAACCATTTAACCTTCTATCGCCTTATTATCTTATTTGCGTAACTACGACCGATGAACGACGAGAAACCCATTGCTTTCACGCGACTTTACAAAAAGATGGAATAGAAAAACGTCGTTCTCTCTTTCTCTTCTGTAATTACCAACGCTTGTCTACGCTCGTCCATAAAGACTCGTTTACTTATCGCTAATCGACGTCTCGCGTCTATCCCCCTGACAATCGATAAAACCACCTCTCTCGATATCTCGCATTAACATAAATTCTACTCCCGGATCGAATTAATTGGAAAAAAAAAGAAAAAAAAGGAAAAAAAAATAAAAAAAAAGAAGCGGGAGTAAAGTACTTACTATAGACGCATGCATATGCACGTTGCAGCACATACGCAAAGAAACTTTTCTGTTCTGTAATCTGCTACTCCGTAAAAAAAGTTTATCTCCTGAATTCGTCGGTCCAGTCAGATATAACTCGATCTTAATCGGTATCCTTTCGAGTCTTACACGATGCACGTCGCTTTCTACGTGACGCTCGACGGATAAAGGAGGTTGAAGGATTGCGCGATCCTGGACGGCTCGTTTTCGGCGACAGGAATTTCAATGGGCAAGATTGGCGCGCTTGCGAGCGAGTTATAACGCTGGCTATGAGGGGACCAAGAGCGAGAGAGCGAGAGAGAGAGAGAGAGAGAGAGAGAGAAGGAGGAGGTGACGTGGTGACGTGGCTAACGGTACATCCCTGCACGCTTTCAATGGTCTACCAACCTACCTACCCACCTACCTACGTATCCGCACCGGTGGCGTTCGCTCTTAAACACGAGCGTCGAGGCCCCCGCATCGATCGCGCCTATATGTATAACGCGCGTATGCCTATCGATCGGCCCGACTCGCCTACAACGCCTCCTCCTTCACCTCCACCACCTTTACCACCACCACCACCATCACCACAACCACCTCCTTCTCCAACTTCTCAACGTGAAAAGACGAAAGGAAAAGAGGCGCCTCTTATGGTTTTTTGCACGTCGTTTCGCTCGATCTACACAACACATTCAACTATTGTATAGGACTAGGATGACGACGATCAAGTCGCAAAATATCTTTCGCACGTGCTCCTCGAATCAGACACAGCAGGTAGAACGTACGAATTTGGAACTCTCCGAGTCCAACTCGCTGCGGGACACCAATTTGGTAATCCTTAAATGGATTGCCGTCCTTATTTTCAACAGTCCTCTTTGTATTTTTCATCTTTTCTCTTTTTTTCTTTCTTTCCTTTTTTTTTTTTTTGTTCCTTTTCTTTCCCATACAGTTACAATGTTACTTAAGATTCTCGTTTCTCGCCTACTGAAATTTTTACCGATATGCAAGCTTTTTTTCCCATCGTCAGGAAAATAAGTCGAGCCAACTCAGACGCGCGTAAGATAGCACGTAATTTTATAATCCGCTTGGATTACTTTTCCATCGCACGTTTTCCTCTTCGATCGGTCGCACCACGAACGAATACTAGTAACGTTCTTTCGTTTGTTCGGGACTACCTTTTCGAAGCGAACCACCTATCTCGAACTCTCTTTCGAGTGAGCTTAAGAATGCTAAAACGTTTGCCTCGGTCATTGACTGAGCGTATGCCTATCGAGGAAATAACTGTAATCCGTTTCTTCATCGGCGATGATGACGATGGTGGAATCGGTAAGAGCAGCCCGCCCACCGAAATTTTTGACTTTGATTAATAGTGTTTTTTTTTTTTTTTTCTTTTTTATATGTCTTATACGTATGGACGAGTCTTCTTTTATTTCCCTATCGATACGTTTAGGAATATTAAGTAAATTCGCGCGGCGAGAATCGTGGAAATCGATGTGAAATCTTTTAACTCGATTATCAGACGTTCGATGCGCTCCGATTGGCATGGAAGACGACGCCGTACGGATTGGTTACGAGCTGTTAAGCCTTTGCAATTCCGACCAACTTTCTTGCACCTGATAGATACGTGGACGACGATGATTATACGATTCTTTACATATTATCTCTTTCGAAAAAGATTCATTAATGGTAACTAATCTGGACATTAACCTTTTGTTATCGTTACTGTTATAGTTTCCTATTATTCACGGCACCAAGGTCGACTTCCGGAGTACATATGATCGTACTCTAGCCTTCCTTCCGCTGCGATAGAATTGATCGAAAGAAACGGAACTTTTTTCTATTATTGAAAATCATCCACTTCTCTCTCTCTCTCTCTCTCTCTCTTTCTCTCTTTTCTTTATCGGTAATAAAAGAAAAGTTTTTTACCGGTCGGAGGCTGATCGATTCTATCGCATATCTTCCCACGTATACCTGTAAGAAATCCTTCGTCTCGAATAATATGCGAAACGACAATGAGAGGAGGAGACCTCTCGATTGAGGGTGGACGACCTAACGGTGCGATATCGAGTGTCGGTGGTGCTCTTGTATCGCGAGATACAGATGTTCTATCCTCCTATTACGTTTTCGATCCCCATCTCTTCTCTTCTCTTCTCTTCGTTCCTTCGCTCTCGAATCGCAGCAATCCGGTCCAAGAAAATTTTCAACGAAACGTTTTGAGCTTTAGATATATCAACGGCATTTACGTTCTCTTTCTTTCTCTTTGCAACTCGTTCGAATTCTTCAAAGCCGATCGATAACGCGACTTCTCTCGACTTTGCGAATCTACGGCAGCGTATCTAAATTTATCGTCGTGAATTTATCCTCTACAGTTTCTCTGATACTTTTCACTGCTCGACCTTAAATCGTTACGACAAAAATCTTAAGTTAATTCTTATTCTAGATGAAGGATATGAGGTATTTGCCAGTCGAAATCGTTTTTATTCAGAAATGGTTCAATGTCTTTTTGTATCCTAAAAGAGTCATGAAATTGCGTCCTCTTATATCTTCCTTCTTGTAAGAAAATTGACTCGTCTCCACGTGGGCGATACATACCTATGTATATACATGTATATAGCTACTTATATGAACGATTTTCGAATCGAAAATACGAAAGCCGGTACCCCGTCTTAATTCAGATCGCGAAGCAAGAACAACGGGAGAGAAGGTTCTTTATATTCGAGCCATGCCAAAGGCCCGCGAGATTCCTTGATGAGCCTTAACGGTGATACCTGCTGTGTGTTGTTACGTGTATACTTTCTGGCAAGTATACAACGCCTACGGCCGGCATCTTCTGGGCCGATCGATCGCAGGGGGACGATCGATCGTCGTGGCAAGTGCGTGCGCCGCCTTACACCCGTCCTCGCCGACGTCGTCGTCGTCGTCGTCGTCGTCGTCGTCGTCGTCATTGTCGTTTCTAGATGTTATGTTGCGAGGGACCAAAGTAGCCAACCGATCGTTTAAAGATGATGTCGAGATAATGCTCCTTTGATTTTTTTTTTTTTTTTTTATAACCACTATCATCGTCGTATGATAAATTTACGTGCTTTTCTTCACTTTTCGATATAACTATACATTTTGCTAGTTATAGTAACGTAGATCCGATGGCTAGAGGCGAACTAAATCCTATTTGTTCCGTTTGCCTTTCGTTTTATCCTTCTTCACGTGTGTACGTACGTAGAGATATGTACGTAACTCGGTCGGAAGCTTTCTTCTTATCCTGACCTTTCTTTCACATTAAAACTTCCTCGCTCGTTCGTCCTTGTTCCTCCAAAAGACGCCTTGAAAAGGACGATCCGCGTTCGTGCAAATGCAATATACGAAAGTTTCAAGTCAAACACAAAAAAAAAAGGAAACTTTTAAAGGAAAGAATTAAATAAGACAAAATGGTTCAATTCGTCTTCAAGAATTTCACGAATTCTTTTTGTTCTTGATCGAAAATAATAGATATGTTTAACGCACGTGTTACAATTTTTAAACGAACCCGCCACGTACGCGAAGAACACCTGCTGGAGCTTCTCGTGAGAATAGATATCAATGCGGGACGCATAGCAACGAAGGGAAAAGAGAAACGGGGTAACTTACCCTCAATGTGATACTGTTTAAAGCGGCTTCTTGACTTTTTTCTTTTTTTCACAGACCGTGAGATAAAATCATTCAAAGTGAGTATCAATACCGTTTCCTACTCGAGTATCCTTCATATTTATACACCTTGATTCATTGATACTCATACTCGATAAGATTAAAAATGAAACGAGAGGATTCATCTTGAGATTCAGATTTCATCGGATAATTAGTCCAAGAAATGGAAAGAAAGAGAGACGCACTTAGGCAGGATTAAATGCTCGAACGAGTCGAGTTTACGTCCTCGAAAGATGAATTTCCAACGTTCTTCTCTCTCTCTCTCTCTCTCTCTCTCTCTTCCTCTCTCTCTCACACACACGATTTTACGAGTCGATACGACTAAAAGTAACACCTCGTGCGAATGCAAGAGAAGCATCAGCCGGAAGGAAAACAAGCACGACCACTCTAGCACCCTGTCGAAGAGGAAAGGATGTACGTATGCTAGAGGGAGAGAGAAAAAGAAGAAGGGGTGACCTGCCCCAACGTGATCCTGTTTACAGCAACCCTTCTTCGACGAAACTTTTCTTGAATCTCTCTCGCCACGTTTCCAAGTTATCCGTAAGCTCTCAGCGTTGGCACTTTCTTCTTCTAGCTCTTCATACATATATATATATATATATATATATATATATGTATACATATATATATATGTATATATATCCACATATATATATATCTTTCTCTCTCTCTGTCCCTTTCGTTGGCCCCTCCAAGACGACCGGTGTGCCCCACTCCCTCCCATGGAAGCCCTCCGCGCTACTGCGCTCATGCTTTCCTTCCCTCTCCCACCCTCTCCGCGCATAAACCTTCTCACTCTGTCCCTCTCCCTCTTGCTCCTCTCTCTCTCTCTCTCTCTCTCTCTCTCTTTTCTCCTATCTATCGCGTTCCTCGCACTCTCTCGCTCCCTCGTTGGTTCGGTACGCTGCGCGCGCTCCCTCCGGCGGAGGCCAGAGGGAGAGAAGCGGAGGGCAGAAGAGGGAGCGAGAGGAAGATAGAGAGAGAGTAAGAGTGCAGAAACGGTGGGGCTGGCTCTGTTCGGTCTTGCGCGGCGCACACTAGTCAACCCGGAGCCACGGTCGTCGTAGGAACTGTTGTAGGAACTGTCGTAGGAACCGCCGTAGGAACCGCCGTAGGAACCGTCGTTTTCTCGTTTCTCGCGAGGGACACCGCTTGGTGCTCGTTATTATATTTGTCCTCGTTTTGTTCGTCGTCGGTTCGTTCCGGCGTTTCTTTGAGAAATTTCAAAAGATATCTCGAAAAATGAATTAAAAGAAAAAAAAAAAAAAAAAAAAAAGAAGAAAAAAGAAAGAAAAAAACAAGAAACACCAACGACAGGAGAGAGAGTGCGCGAGTGTACGGAATAAATTGAAGATATATAGAGAGAAAAAGAGAGACTAAATACAGAAAGATTTTTAATTTCTTAAGGGTGCTCTCTCTTTCTCTCTCCCTCTACGCATACCACAAGTGAGCACACGTACGCGCGCGCGCGCGTGCGCGGGCGCATAGTTTCCGCCGCGAAAAAGTATTGCGTGCCCGTACGTGGACCGATGGCAAAACTGCGGATGGCGATCGTGGCGCGAAGAGTCGCAAAGTTCTCTTCTACGGCGCCGCCTCGTGCTCGAAGAGTCGCGGAAGAGAATACGACGGGGTCGTGACTGTCCCCCGCGTGCGTGCCACCAGTCGACGCCCCGATCGAGAACGTCCGAGTTCTCTCTTCGGCTCTCGGGAGGATCGTCATAGATACACCGGTCTTTTTATCGAAGTGTTGTGCGGTGCTCTTAGAGAGTATCGACGTTTCTTGGGACTTCCTAGTGACACCTTTATTCCCTCTCTCTCATTCGTTCTCTATCTCTCTTTCTCTCTCCCTCTCTCTCCCTCTCTCTCCCTCTTTCTCTATCTCTCTCTCTCTCTCTCTCTCTCTCTCTCTTTCTCATTTTCTGTCTCTTCCACTGTCTCTATCCACCGTCTTTTTTCTCCCTACCTACGTATCTCTACCACCCCTATCATCCCTAACCCCCAAGAATCCCTCGTCGACGTTGTCTCGTGCAGTGCGAAGGAAATACACGAATGAATCGTTTCTCTTGTGCTATTCGGTGAAAGTGAATCAAATGATAATAATAATGATAATCGAAAGTTGTGAAAAAAACGACGTATGAAACGGAGGTGGTGATCCAAAGATTCTTTGAGATTCTTCGTACGATAGTATAGTAATATTAATAGCAATAATAATAATAATAATAATAATAATAATAATAATAATAATAATAATAATAATAATAATAATAATAATATTAATAACAACAGGGTGTGCAACGACAGTGCATTCGACGAGGAACTTTTGCTACTTCTATTACTACTACTGTGATTTATGTATATACACGCTCGAAGAAGAAAAGAGGATCGATCCTCGAAACTCGTCCCGTTTAAATTTCTCTCTCGGTACTTCGCGGTGACTCATTTCGGCGAAAGTAAGACGCGCCGCCCGGAAAGGAGAGTTTCTGGTGTGTTTCTTAAAAAGAAAAAGGAAGAAGGGGAGAAAGAAGAAATTAAAGTAGCGCGAATATCGTTCTCTCGATCGCTTTCATCTCTCTTCCGTCGATCCTCTTTGCACAGCTTCGCGTCTGCTTTTGCATCCGAGTCTCCCATTCGATTCCCTCTCGCCCACTCCATCATTTACCTCCCGGTTATGGATATTATTAAGTAATACTTAGACCGCGCGCGATCACGCTCTCTCGATGTGTCGCCGCGCTCTGCGTGTGCGCGTGCGCGCCTACTGTACGCAGGCGAATGGGAAAACGCGGGTTCTCATTCCGAGCTTCGCCGATTTATCGAGCCCGCCAAAAATCTCTCGTGCGCTTTTCTTACGTAATCTCTCGTCCTTTTCTCTCTTTCGTACGTACGATTTATGTAGATACGAATGGCAAAACTTTTCTCGAGGCCTACGTCATACCAGATAACTCACTTGCGATTTAAAAAAAAAAAAAAAAAAAAAAAAGAGAAAATAAAAAAAGAAAAACGGAATGGTAATAAATAGGAGACTATTACTAGATTTACCACGTTCGAAGACGACAAGGATTTGTCGATGACGAACGCAAAGAGATACGGAGGCTCGCGCGCCTCCGCTTTTATCTCTAATCGCGCGTCCTCGCGCAATGCAAGCGGAAATGCCCACGTGTACGTAGATATATCGAGGAAAGAAAGAAAAGACACAAGAGTCGGATGAAAATCGATGAAAAGAATGTTTAATTGCGAGCTCGTGAATTTGCCATTCCATCTCTCTCTCTCCCTCTCTCTCTCTCTCAAATCTTTCGATAAGATAAGCGTATAAATATTTACTAATAGCATTCGTCGAAACGCATTCGTAAACACGTTCGAGGATCGCGTTGCTCCATTTCCACCTAATCTAATACTTCGTCGAGAGCAATGACCGTGAACTTTGCAATTACTATTCGTAATCCCCTAAAATTTATTTCTTCGGATGACCGAATCTCGATCTATAGGAATCTTAGATAAAAGAATTGATGTCATCAATGTGTTGCCGTTGTTATAATTTCTACTTAAACTATCGCTGATTATCATGCCATTTATTGTTCAACTATCTTCCTTTCTCTCTCTCTCTCTCTCTCTCTTTCTCTCTCTCTTGGCTTTTACGCACGACCTTCCGCAGAAAACGTAGTTGAAATCTTTAGTCTCTAAGGACCGAGTTTTGCTCTTGGAATTCAACTCACCATTCTTAAAGTCGGCGAGCCGGCTTCGCGTAAGTATATACGCGCGAGACGTAATCGCGCAAAGTTGCACTCGCGCTCGCACGGCACCGTGTGTATATATATATGTGAATTACTTTCGCCCCGGGGGGCATCGCATCTTATTTAGGTCGTGTACACGTAGCCGTACACTTTGGTTCTGGCACGAGCGTGCCGCCGTTATTACGGCATCGTAGTCGTCGTCGTCGTCGTAGTCGTTAGTCGTCGTCGCTGTATAGTTCTCAACTACCATCAAGAGAGAGAGAAAGAGGGGGCGGGAAGGGCGGGAGGGAAAGAAAGAGTTGCTCGTGCAGGTGATTCCAACCTATACGGACTTGTCCTCGACGAGTCTCGAGTCTTCGATCTCTATGCGGTCGCTCTACATATATATAATAGTCTTGTTTTGTAATATTGGGCAGATAATATGCACGAGCAAGTGAAAACTAAAAACTCTTCATATACAAAAAAAGTTTTTACCATCTAGTTATGGTCCGTTAAGATAGCAAAAAATTTATTTATGTTTACGATTATTCGTTACACTTTGTGCGTGATCCTTATAGAACGTTATCCTCCAAGTAAGAAATAACTTTGATAATTTTTGCAAATCGTAAATATTTGAAACACTTGTTTCAATACTTATCCGATATGGAATGACCAACAAGAAATTATCGACAAGATAAAAGACTAAATTTGCTGCGTAATTATTCGGAGAAATAGATATCATCGAGAAGTAAGGAAACGAAAAGAAGATCGATCTCTCTCGAACCGTGGAACATAAAGTTCTGTTACGATGCGAGAAGAGGAGGAGATCCGATCTCGCGTGCTACGTCACAGACAGTAGAGCAGGTCCGTTGCGTGTACTGTTAGGAAGCAGCTAACCGTTCGTTCGGACGGGTGAAAAGAGCGTGTTGCTCGAGGGAGGAGAGAAGAAGTACTACATAGGTCATAGAATATATACGTTCCGTTTATCTGTGTGCGCGAGTGTTTGCGGGACGCGTGCTGCTGCTGTTGGTCGAACGAGTAGCGAGAGAGAAGGACGATGATGGTAGTAGTAGGGTGAACGATAGAGAGCGTGTGCGACTGAGAGAGAGAGAGAGAGAGAGAGAGAGAAAGAGAGGAGTAGATCGAGTCAGTGGGCTAGTAGGACCGGCAGAATGTTAGCTCGACTCGGTTCTCCCTCTACGTATATCCGCTGCGTCGTCCCACTCGCGCGCACACGCATACACACACGTACTATACCTACGAATGCGCCACCGTGAAACGTTCTTTCTTATAGACCTATATATACTACATACGCACGGTCGAAGGGCGACGATATACGTTCTTTCGAGTACTTCAGCAAAGAAGTACATACCTACTACTACTCCCGCACGTAGAGAGCTCTAACCAACACTAAGAGGTGGTAGCCATGTAGATAGATAGGTAGGTAGGTAGGTAGATAGGTAGAGTCGACACACAAACGAGAAGGGTAGTAGGCGTTATGCAGAAGCTCTTATATAGCTATACGAAGGGGTGTAAGTATAAATATATCTCACTCCCCCTCCTCTCTCTCTCTCTCTCTCTTTAGTTACACGAAAGAGTGAACGAGAGAGAGAGAGAGAGAGAGAGAGAGAGAGAGAGAGAGAGAGAGAGAGAGAGAGAGAGAGAGAGTAGAGGTGTGGAAGTAGGTGTGGGTGCATCGCCGTGGAGCTTCCTTCCACGGCAAATCCTACCAGTTCTGGTCTATAAAAGCGAGGAGAAACTATAGAGCGTCATGAAAGCACATGGAGAGTAGGCAGAGTCGGTGAATATGTAGACAAGGGGGGTGGTAAGCAAGGCAGGCAGGCAGGCAGGCAGGCAGGCAGGCAGGCAGGCAGGCTGGTAAGCTTGCTCCGCTGGTGGTCGCTCGCTCGCTCGCTTCCGAGCTTCGCTCGATAGCAAAGTGCGGTTCCCCTCGACACGAAGCTCTTTCGTCGTACTTGCAACGCGGCAGGATTAAAGGGGAACCTTCGAAGCGCTGGAATGCGAACGCTCAAAGAGAACGAGACCTCCTTCCGCGAGAATTCTCTTCTCTTCGTTCTCTACGTGCCTTCTTCTTATATATAATCTCTTAATAGAGAGAATAATATATTATTTCGAGTTTTTCATCAATTTTGAAAAGAGAATAATTTTCCAATCTGGAAGATTATTCTCTTGTTAAATATTAAACCTTCGATCGAGGAATCCCTGTTTGCGTATCGATCAACGTGGACACATTCGTTGCGTAATTTCAACGAGAAAGGTGTATCTAGGTAATCTATCTATCTCCGGGTCTGGATACATTTATCTGTAATCTAAAAAAAAAAAAAAAAAAAAAAAAAAAAATAGAAAAAGAAAAATAGTAGGTCGCGTACGATAATCGGAATGCCACTGGCAAGAGTTGCACATGTTTGTTTCCTTCTCACGATAACAAAAAGCCCATAGAAAATCTCATTCGTTTCGATCGAGAGAACGAACGTATCGCGCATCGAACGTTTTAGGCATCGAATCGACGATACTGTTTACAGATCCGACGAGAAAGGAAAGACGATTAAAAGTATAAGCATGTCGCGTCTTCGAACGAAGATCATCGTTGACGAGTACACTGGATTCGATAATAACTTTATCGTTGCCTCGGGAAAAAGCACGACGAGTTGGTTGGGAGTGATTCGAGTGCGTGGCGATTAGATATAGGGCGATAGTTTTTCCCTAGGATCGAAAAGAAGAGAAGAAAAGAAGGGCAAAGAAAAGAAAAGAAAAGAAAAGAAAAGAAAGGAAAAGAAAAGAAAAGGAAGGAAGGAAGGAAGGAAGGAAGGAAAGAAGAATCGAGGCGCGGTGTCGTGCTGGATACCGCGCGCCAAAAGCGTCCGAGAGGGTGGAGGAAGCGAAAGAAGAAGTGGAGGTGACGATAGTCGTTGGGAGAAGAGGCGTCGGTGGTGGTGGAGGTGGTGGTGGTGGTGGTGGAGGAGGAGGAGGAGGAGGAGGCGGAGGCGGAGGTGGTGGGGGTGGAGGAAGAGGAGGAGAAAAGGAAGAAGAAGACGTCGATCGGTGGTGGAAAAGACGTCGGCGTCGAGTGGACGTCGAAGGTTTATCACGGCGGATGTTAGGCCGGGCCGATCAAGGGCACCGACGACGACGGGCGATCGCGCGGTGTGAGAGGAGGAGGAAGTGGAGGAGGAGGAGGAGAAGCTGCCAGAGGGAGACGGGAGAGGACCGTCACCACGGCGTTCAACATGTTCGAGATGTGGAGCGCGGTGAGTTCCAAGCTGGAACACTCCGCGACCTCCTCGGGTTCGCCGTTGCCGCTGACGTCGCACGCGCCGCAGACTCCGCATACCTCGTCCGGGAGCATCAAAGGTAAAGAGAAGTAAAAAAGAAAAAAAAGAAAAAAAAGGAAAAAGAGTCAAGTGGATGGATAGAGAGCTAAAAACCGTTTACGAATTTACACTTTTACCGAGTTACCGCCATTTTTTTCTTTTCCTTTTTCTTTTCTCTTTCTCTTTTTCTTTCTTTTTTCTTTTTTCTTTTTTTTTTTTCTTTTTTCTTTTTTTACACGCGAGACACGCGACCTACAATACAATGAGAATATACCTTTCGCGCCACTCTGACTGTATGAGTTTCTTTGAGAAGAACGATTACGTGACTCCCGAGTTCCCACGATTGTTCGTCGAACGGCAAAAGATTATGTGTATGTATGCATGTAGGAACGTGCTGTTGTATCGCGTGTGCCGTTCAAATTTTCTTCCACCGAACCACCGTTAGATTGCGTCTAAGAGTGTCGTCGAAACGCGCCAAACTCCCGAGCTCCGTTAGAAAACTTATTTATGTCTTTCTAGAAAGTCAAGTCCTTACGGATGTCAACCGAAGAAAGAAAATCTCACGCAGAATGTACGCTTGGAGTAATAAAAAGTATCGCGCGTTTCGCGAGTTGTCTCGAATACGAATACGAATACGCGATCGAGACGCGTGGCGCGGAGTAAATTATGCAAAGCGAAAGTACCTACGTAAGAAGTACGAGTTGCGCAAAACGTCGTAAGAAGAATACCGCCGCTAACGTCGGCCTCTCGTAATGTCGCGTCCTGCCTTTGTGAAAATGCGAAAACGAATCTCTCTCTCTCCCTCTCACTCTCAAGCAATTCGACGAGTACAGAAGGGAGATAGATTGCTGAAAGATTGGGTAGACGAGAAGGACAACCCGACAAATTTATGCCCGCCGCGTATTCTCTCGCTTTCTAATTTATTTTTTCTTTCAAACAAAATAAATACAAGAGAGAGAGAGAGAGAGAGAGAGAGAGAGAGAGAGAGAGAGAGAGAGAGAGAGAGAGAGAGGGAGAGAGAAACATCGATCCATCTCACTCTCATGCTACTTTTCTCTCTCAGTCTCCGTTCTTTGCCTCGTCCATTTTGGAGGTACAAGAAGCTTCCGAATGAAAATCCGTCTATCTCGTTAGACGTTTCGACTCGTCGAAGCGGATCCTACGTTAATCCTCGCTTTTACACGGTCAAATCTTTCGCTATTCAGCGACGTCATCTTCTTGAACGTTTAAAAGAGATCACTCATTGATGCCGGTATCGTACGGTCTTCTGCATGGCTCCGTTGTCTGAGCAAACTAAAAAATAAAAATACCTATCCACGGCTCGCTGTTTGTTTTTATTTTAAGACGGTGAATGATCGTTGGTAAGATCAAAATAAAAAAGACTATGGATATGACACGAGCCTGTGAAATAATTAATTGAACGATCCAATAGAGAAAGCAATTTTCAGATTTAATATTCTTCCGATCGTTGGGACTTACCTAACTGTAAATTATAGTGTTCGAAAAATGATCCTGTTACATAAGCCGTGTTACCGTCTTGTATATACTATATATAACGTCTATTATCGCTAATCGTTATTGGTATTACTTACTTGCATTAAAATGAGTATACTTTGTTCGCCTCGCGTAGATCGATCGAAAGAATAACGTTGTGATGTGCAAGTAGTACGAGTCAATGTTCGGATGAACGTCTAATTATCAATCCAATGTACGATCTCGTTCGATGGTAGAAAATTTATTCTCGATAATAAGTGTAGGTGTATGCGAAACGTATTACATCGATCGACCGAATAAAAGGTAATTTATATCGGCAAACGGAATAAAACGCATCTGCTTCCGAGAGGCAGAGCGTGTAAAGCGTTGGTAACACGACGTATCGACAGCACGAGGGTGGGAATTTTGTTTAATTTTACGTTTTCCATACATATGCTACACGTTTCACTTTAACTTGTAAATTATGCGTTGTACGAAAAGTCGTTTTATATCAAAGTTACATTCGTAATATACGCTCTCAAAATGCAACATAGCAGAAACAATAAAGGTTAATAGATTTTATTTAACAATTTGATAGAAAAAGCTTCTATTTGTTTTAAGTATATTATTTTAGTAGGTATACAATGTAAAAGTTATTCAAACCATGCATGTTATCTGTCTCTCCTACATGTGTGTGTCGTTTTTGAAGGCATTTCGGTACATCGATAATGTTACCAACGATATATATATATATATATATATATATATATATATATATATATATATATTTTAAATACTTTATAACTCGCACATACGGTCTGTCGAAAAACAATACCTTTTTCGATAGCTCGATCGATTTATTTCTCTCGACACAAAATCTCGATAGTTACGTCAGTTTCGTAGATTTCAAGTCCAGTTTGGCTTTTGACGTATGCATGGCACGAACGTCGATCATAACTCATTACGTCCAAGATAATCGAACGATCATAAGACGATAACGGGAGTATCGATCGTCTATCGGTTATGGTAGAAACCGAGAGACGTACGAAACGGCTAACACGTATCGATTTCGTAAGGGAAACCTTCCAACCGGTTCCACGATCTTGGACGGATCGCTACTTCTTTCTTTTTTTTTTCGTCAGGTGGTCCAGCTTTCACTTATGAAAAAAATATATGTATATACATATATATATACATACACATACACACACACACACACACAGAGAGAGACATACTTCGTACTTTTGTCGACGACAAAGCGTATCAAAATTTCACGAAAAGTATCTCCCGCAGCGCGCGCTTTTAAAAAGAATGGCGTCCGGCCGACGCTTCGTGTGCCTCTATCGATTCGCTGCTGCGAGCCACGCTCGTCTCGCTGAAAGCCTCTTTCTCTTCTGCAAAAAACCTACCGAGCCCGTCTGTGATTTATTTCAAAACTATCTCGGATTACCAACTTTGAAAAAGTTTTAAAAATCGATCAAATTATCTAACGCGCTGGACGCACCGTCTATAAATAACAACGTGTAGATATATATATATATATGTTCTTTTTTTTTTTTTTTTTTTTTTTTTTCAAAGAAAGCGATAAAGAAATAATAAAAGAGAATGAGAAAGGGAGAAAGAGAGCGCGGGACGATTTTCCCGTAATCGTGGGCATTCTTATCCTCGTTCACCCCTGATAGGGTGGAAATCCGTAGCAGGGTGGAAGAAGTAACCGACGGGAAAAAGACAGAGAGAGAGAGAGAGAGAGAGAGAGAGAGAGAGATTAAGAGGGAGAAGGGAGACTAGGCACGGAAAGTGGAAGAAAAAAGCGAGTTGTAAAGGCGGAGGAAAGAACGAACGAACGAACGTTGGTGGCGGCAAAGAGGAAAGAGAAGTGAGAGGGGTGAGGACTGAAGAGGAGAAAAGAGGGCTCTGGAGGGTGGGTCGTTGCTGCCACTGGCTCGACCGCCGACTACTATTACTACTACTACTACTACTACTATTACTAGCATTACTACTACTACTACTAATACCTCTGCTGCTGCTGCTGCTGCTACTGCTGCTGCTGCTGCTGCTGCAGCTGCAGTTGCAGGAGGTTGCAGAGGTGGAGGAGGAGGAGGGAGATGAGGAGAGAGAGAGAGAGAGAGAGGACGGAACGGAAGCGTGGGTTCGCAGATCGATAGCCGCGCGCGCCCGTGCAACCGAAGCCCATTTCGTGTCGCCGTCGCCGTCGCCGTCCTCGACGATGATGACGACTATACGACGACTACGAGGCCGTGCAAAACGAGCTCGAGACGTCGAGAAACGTCGATATATTCGCACGTGCATCATTTCCGCATCGTCCCAAAGTGCGAAGAGCGGCTTGCCGAGCGAGCGACCGTGGGCGGAGCTTTTACGAACAATGACGATCGTTCTCCGGCCTCTCCGACAAATATCCGATGTCCTTTTCTTTTTCCCTTTTTATTTTTTCCATTTTTTTATATATTACTCCTCTTCTCTCTTAGCTTTTAGTTTTTATTTAATTTTTACTTCGATTACTACATACCTTTCTTTTTTCTCTCTTTTTCTTTCTTTCTTTTTTCTTTTTTCTTTTTTACATTATGTAATATGTTTGTTCAATTTTGTTACGAGTAATCATAAATCAATTCAACTTTCTTTCGTTCTTTTATTTTCTTCTCTCTTCCACGATCTTGCGTCACCCACGTAAAAGCGAAACTTTCCTCCCTTCCTCCCCCCCCCCCGTCCTCGTGATTCGTGACGGGGAAATTAAACGCTCCTCTGTTTTCCTCGGCTATCTCTCGGCACCGAGTTTGAACGTGGTCGATCATTTGCCTTAGAGAATCATCGATCCTATAGATGAAGTTTTTCTTCCAATTCTTAATGAATTTCTGCCTCTATAAAAAAAAAAAAAAAAAAAAAAAAAAAAAAGAAGAAGAAAGAAAGAAAAAAAGGAAAAAAAAAAAAAAAAAAAGAAAGAAAAAAAAAGGAAAAAATCCTCTACGTTTCGCGCTCTATCCTCGTTCGATATACTTTTAGGTATTCTCGTGGAA